GTATAGGGATATAATATACAGTTTGTAAAGTATAAAATCGATTACGTCTATGGTATGTCCCCATAAAACATGGAAACCCAATGTGTGTGTGTGTATTTTCCTGTGTTTTATATATATTTGAATAGTTAATCATATTGTAAATGGAATACATATTTTGATAAGAAATGTAGTTTATTATTAAAGTGGTCACAAATGTATTCAGTTATTTAATGAATATCTGTTAATATCAATATCAATGGGGAAAATGAACAGGAAATGAATGGGACACCTATGCCACAGGGGGTGCACTGTTCCTGCTCGAATATCTATGGTAATGGACCTCTCTGATTGGTGGATTGTGTTTCAGGATTTTAGTAGTTTGTCACCATTCACAAAGAGCTTTTAAATTGTTCTCCTTTTAAATTAATAATTGCATTCTTTCTTTTGGACCTTACTGTTGAGCTTTTAGTACAGGCATGTTAAGAAACAGTCAGTAATGTGAGTGCAGTTATATACAATGTAAGCAAAATATGCATTTAAACTAGCACATATTAAATTAAATTAGCATTTGTTTTGGTTAACAACATTGCAAAATAAAGATGTTCAAATCCACAGCCAATGGTTCTTACAAAATTAAGAGGTACAATAGGTATGTCAACACATTGATTGATGATTATTGTTGGTTAGGGCATTATGAGAACACAAAATGACCCACTCCAGTATTTTTGTTTTAAACACACATTAGTCAATGACAATCTTAGTACACATTTCAAACATTTTTCCTGTATCAATTAAGGTGAGACACCCCAGGTGAGTAGGGCAAAAACTATACTTCACCAGTTGACTGATTACATTTATAATTATAATGTAAATATTTTTTGCATTACAAGTTTTCTGTAATGTTATGTTTAAATATGCACTAATTTTCATATATTTCTAGAACAAAAATCTGAACATTGGATGAAGTCAGATTTATAAATCTTGTTTACTTTTTTGGAGTGAATATTAATATATACCAAAGGCTTTTACAGAGGGAATTTTGAGTATCTCTTTTAACACTAACACAACTATACACAAATCAGAAAATTTAGTGTACTAAACACTTTTAACACTATACACAAATCAGAAAATACTGCCAAAATAGGCAAAAAAAATAAAAAAAATTATAATTTTTTTAGGAATAAAATGTTGTATAAAATTAGGAAAATTATATATAAACAAACCCCTCTTTAAAAACCTACAGAATATAGATAAGAATAAAACCAAAGTTTGGTGTATGTACTTAGGTGAATATTTCTGGCTCAATCAATAGGAGGAAAAATTAATTTAGAGAAAATGGCCTTTACAGATATATAGGCTACTGCAATTGAAATCTACAGACACAAATAGTTAAAGCTCTAATATGTAGCTTTTTTGGCCACAAGAGGGCGCAGTTTCCAACAATAAAAAAAGCGTACGTTTATGCTAGTTAGTGTACGTTTATGCTAGTTAGTTAAAAAAGCGTACGTTTATGCTAGTTAGTGGTGAACTGAATGATGGGACTTGCTGTCAAGCTGATGGATCTAATGTTTATGGATTAGTGAAAACACTCATGTTTTTTAACATTACAGTGGTATGAAGCAGGTCGCGATTGCAAATAAGAGACATATATCACACGCGAGTCCCGTGGATAGAAAGGAATAAGGAAATTTCATCCTATTGAACTACCCGAAAGTGCTGGATTACTCACTCAGAGTCAGGTCAGTTTATTAGACGAATTAAACTTGTGAGGGAAACGCAGCGCTGTTCCACTTGGTCTAATGTTACACTATCACACTAAACGGCATTTAAATGTGTGTTGAAAGTTATAATGTTATTCTAGTAACGTGTTTGTTTGTTATACGAAGCTAGCAGCTAGATCAACATTAGAGTAACATACTGACCATATTCTAACAGTTCATCATGTCAAGCTAACGTTATAACATTGATTTGTTTTATGTACATTTGCTCACCTGCCTAATAAAGCTGTAAAATCGTGACTCGTGAAGTTCTGTCAAGTCCAAGTTAGTCACAGTTAGTAGCTCTCTGTCGAGTGGAAGTCAGTCTCAGACGCTAGCTCTCGGCATCTCAGAAACGCCACGCTGATATTGATCCTCATTTTAGTTCTTCTTGTTTGTCCCAAAGTCTGCTTGCCATGGTCTATGTTTGAACGAAACAAGAACTGGGTGCCACTATACGTTACTCACTACGCAGTTGTCCACGTCTGTCGCCATGGTTACATCATGGCGATGGCAGTACGAGCGGAAACGAGGATAGCGCGGATATTGCGTCATTGACAGGCGACATTTTTTTCCGGGACGGCCACTTATTTAAAATTGGAATTTCTCTGAAATAAAAGAACTTTGGAGATTTTTGGGATATTGCAAGTACACAACTGCAGGAAATATATCACACTGTGCAAGTGATTTTTGGGTATTTTATTACAAATTTGACCTTTTCAGTGCTTCACAGTTAAAAGTGTATTTTGGATGTTTTCGGTCCACTAGTCTAAACATTGTTTTTATGAAAAGCCAAAAAGCCCGAAATGTCGAAATTGATAGATGCATGAAAAAAAAAAACAAAAAAACACTGTTTTTGCCTTTAGTGTCTCACTTTAAGCACCCAATTCTATTTCAGTTCTCTACATGTTATCATAGATGTCTTCAGATAGAGGTCACTTTAAACACCTCATCAAGAAACTGAACAGAAAATACTTTACACTGTCTATTGTAATTACTCTATAGCAAGTACTAAGTAGTAAAAAATAACCAATCATGTAAAGTACAAAATTAGCGATATTGTGCATTTGTTATTTTAAAGGGATCTTTACCCATGTTGTTTCCAAAGCTGCATTAATTATTCAGTGGAACATAAAATATATTCATAAAAATTCACTTTCATTTTTAGAAACCTGATTTTATTCATAATAGCTTCATTTATAGGCTAATCCATAGGTTGTAAAATACATGAGTGTGAAGGAATTTTCATTTTCATTGAGGGAATGTTTGTCACGAACACACAGGACGAGGAAAAATCCAAGTGCAGTAATTTATTTAAGGGCAATCCAAAAAATCGTATTACTCCAAGCAGAGGTAAAAAAATCCAGAGAAGCAATCCAAAGCAAGCACGGGAAAACAGACAAAAAAGTGTGGTGACACAAAACAACTCCGTACACATACTAACACAGACAGGGAATACACAGATCTAACAAGACGAACAATGAACAGCTGGGAACAATGATACAGAGACTAGCTGAATGCAATGAACTGATGAGTGACAGACAGAATGCAGGGAAATGAAGTCAAATGTGAAGGACACAGTGAGAATGAGGACCTCTAGTGACAAACAAGGGAAACACAACCAGACACTGTGACATAAGCCCCCTCTACGGAGCGGCTACCAGAAACAGAGAGTCCTTCGGGTGGCCAGGGCGGCGAAGACCCCTCGGGCGGCCAGGGCAGCCCAGGACCAGACACCGACACCTACTCAGGAACAGACACCAAAACTGTAACAGCCACAAGAACAGACACAAACACAGAAGCAAACACCGCCTCCGGCTCTGGAACAGCAGGCACTGGCTCTGCCTCCGGCTCTGGAACAGCAGGCACCGGCTCTGGAACAGCCACTAGAACAGTAATGGTCACAAGGACAGACACAAACACAGAAACAAATAATGGCTCCAGCTCTGGAACAGGCACTGGCTCTGGTTTCAGCTCTGGAACAGGCACTGACTCTGCTTCGGGCTCTGGAACAGCAGACACTGGCTCCGGCTTGGGAACAGCAGAGTCTCAACACTCGATGAGACCAGTGGTAAAGCATCAGCTATCCCAACCCGATCTCACGACCAAGTCGTACGAATTCGACGAATGATTAAAAAGTGGCTAATTCGTAACAATTCATACGACCTCACTCGTACGAATTAATACGATTTTGCTAAATCGTACATATTTTACGAATTGGCCAATTCGTATGAATTCATACGAATGACCTACCCCTTACCCGCCCCTAAACTTAACCATCACGTGGGTTTAGACAAATCGTACGAATTAGTACGAGTGAGGTCGTACGAATTAGTACAAATTAGACACTTTTTAATCATGCGTCGAATTCGTACGAATTGGTCGTGAGATAGTGTTGGCTATCCTCATTTCCTCATGCCTTTGTGCACATCTAGAGAAATACTCTAATAAAGAGATTCCATTCTCTCTCTGTGGGAGAAAGTTCACTACGTGGAATCCACATAGTGACTGGGGGTGAGATCTTACAAAAATAATAAAAAATAAAAAAAATTAAAATTACCACTGAATATATTTAGAGTCGTTCTGTCGCGTGAACCGACTCTGGACCACCTCCTCCACTTCGGCCTCCATGGGTTCAGCAAAATTTGACCAATCGGGTCCCCCTGAAAAACTCTTCTTTCCCACTCGGTGACTGGGGAAGAGATGTTATAAGCCATACCACTCAGTTCAGTGTGTCTGTCACAGCACAGTTAAGGAAAGGGGTAGTCAAGACTCAAGTGCAAAGTATATTTATTTACAAAAATAAAACAAACACAAAGCAAAAACCCACAAGGGGGAAAACACAATAAATAAAACATGGGACATGAACACAGGGAATGGGAGACATAGACAACGATCCGACAAAAACTGCAAACAAGAGGAGACTTAAAAAGGGAACAATTCAAGAGGGGACAGGTGGGAGAACTCAAAAAATAATAAGGTTACGAGGGGGAGGGATCAGACAATGACAAGAGCACATGGCCCAAAATAACAAAACACCCATGTGCAACACAAGACAGGACAGATGTGACAATGTTCCCTTGTATTGTAGGCTACTGTTTCTTACCTTTAAAATGACTTTTGTTAGTGTAAACAAATGTAGCTGATTTAATTGACGTCAAGTCAAATTAAATTAAATTACAAATTTGACTTCAATAAAACCAGTTTGTTTAGGTTTTTGTCACATGAAGCAAATTAGTTTACCAAACTAACATTTCGTTTTAACCAGTGTACTTTATCCTATTGTTGTCACACAACCTGAGCTGACTGCCTTTTTGACAGTGTTATGAACTAGGGTGTCTATAGCTAATATTGAAATATTTGTGTAACTGCTTTTAAATACACTTAATATTGTAATTCATTCCACAATCTTTCTCTGGGACTGTAATGTAAAGAGTTACCAAACAGATAGCGAGAGAAAGCACGCTGTTTCCCGATGGCGATTGATGAGCATCCCCCTCCCCAGAGCTCCTGGTGTTTCTATAGTAATTTCCAGCCAATGATCAGTTGGTGTCCACATCCCCATCCTCCTCACCTCAGCACCAATCAGCCACACACAGCGACAGGAGACACCTCACCTCCAGTCATCGACAACGGACAACAGCCTTAACCCGGACGCCATCACAAACATATACCTTTCCTTCTACTTTTCTTCGCATGAACAATGGCGTTTTGTGCGTAAAGATGGTGTTTGTGTAGTAATCACTCGGCGCGTGTTTATGGTGTATTCATCGCAGTAATGTGCTGCTCTAGTGTCTGGATTGTCTGGTAGGTGATGCTCTTTCCTTTTTTTCTGGCTTAGCGATAGTGGCGCATGCTTTCTGAATGTCCACTGTTTTATTATTTATTTCGTGTGGTTTTGTATTGGCACCAGAGTGATTAAATCCCATTATCCAATTTGAAATGTGTCTCGGGCTGTAATCGAAAGCACAATTGTTTACTCTCGACCTATTTCTGTCTCATATGAGTATAGGATATTTCCTATTCTCTTAACTTTGTTTACAGCTTGAACATCGACGTTTTAAAAGCACATTTTTACTTAAAACAAGCGATGATAATAATAGTAAACACTTGTAACTTGCTTCATCAATACAGTGTGGATTGTTTCTCAAACTTATTATGCTTGGAAGTGTAAAGTCATATTTTCTACTCAGTTTTGTTCTTTTTGCCTTTAATAAGGAAGTTATAAGGAAGCATAAGCCTCTTTAACAAACTTAATAAAGAAACATGACTCAAATGATCAAACAGGTCTCAAATGATTCATGGCAGGGTCTTAGATGGGTTTCCAGTATTGTCTCTCAAGTGGAAATGTACCATTAAATTTAGATTTAGATGTTCACAGTGCTTTAGTGATGTAGTATCCTTGCAGTATAATAGGCAGTCAGTGAGAGACTCTAGTGAAAGGTAATGCAAGAAGAGGAAGATGTGTCTAATGGGCTTTTATCTGTGGCAACAAAACCCAGCCAGACTGGGAGATCGGAAATGGATCCCCCTACACACTACAGTTGTCAAGGTCTGAGACTTGGTTGGAGAGAGCCCAACAAAGCATCTTTGTATCATTTGGTGAATCTTTACAATGTGATTATTTGTTCTACATATTTTCTTAAGAACGTGCTTGATGCATGATCATGTGATTTTGTGAAAATACAAGACTTTAGAGTACAAGACTTTAATAAGATATTATTATAAAAAAAAACAACGTTTTTTTTTTAACATAAAAATTTGCATGAATGTTATATTTCTATTATTCTTGTTCTATTATGATGCTACTTATTTGTAGTGGTCCTATTCTAAAATTACTGTAATTTTACTGTACTGATCATATGATTTTTACATTTGCAAATGTCTGTTTTCTGTTCTTATGCAACATTAAAGTTTCATAGCTACAATGGTAAGTCACAAGATTAGAAATCATTAATTCACAATTTTGAATTAAAAACTTTCACTAGATTTGAGTAATTTGGAAGTGGCAGATGATGAACAGTAAATGTTTGTCACTTGTTTTGTTGAATTGTTGTTCTCTTGTTTTAGTAGAGAGGATAAACCAGGATGGTAACGTCTTGTGTCTAACAAGCTTCACCTTGACAAAAACCAACTGCTACCCTCCCCCAAATATTTCTTGTGAACGCTTGAAACTTATCAGTCATGTCTAATCTTAACAATGCACTTTGCATTGAAAGCGGCCAAAGCACAGACGTGTCACTCTTGCAAAAGGATAATCTTCAGGACGGTGGATTAAGCCAGCTGTTGGATTACAATGCCGAAATGGAAAGGTACAGGTCGTTTGCAAACTTTTACAAAACTAATGGGGCATTTCCACAGACTGCTAAGATTGCCCGCATAACGACACCAATTTTTCCCAGTGCCAGAATCGGTGTGTCCCCTTGGAACTGTGATAACAGCATGCTCTGGGGAAGGAAATCAGCTGCAATAAACCCTAATAGGACCAGCATGCATAGAAATGACTCCCAAAGGCCGGGGAAACCTGGCGTGCCGCCAGAGACGCTGCAAATGGCAAATAATAATTTCCTCTCTAGCTTATCCCCTGAACACTGCAGACCTTTAGCAGGAGAATGCATGAACAAGCTGAAATGCGGTGCTGCTGAAGCAGAGATAATGAATCTCCCGGAACGTGTTGGAACTTTTTCCGCTATTCCGGCTTTAGGGGGCATCTCATTACCTCCCGGGGTCATCGTCATGACAGCCCTTCACTCCCCCGCAGCCTCAGCAGCCGTTACAGACAGTGCGTTTCAAATTGCCAATCTGGCAGACTGCCCACAGAATAATTCCTCTGCATCCAGCGGAAACACAGCAAAAAAGAAAAGGAAAAGGTGTGGGGTCTGCGCTCCCTGCAGGAGGCTAATCAACTGTGGAGTGTGCAGCAGTTGTCGGAACCGTAAGACGGGCCACCAGATCTGCAAGTTTCGGAAATGCGAGGAGCTAAAAAAGAAGCCTGGCTCATCACTAGAGGTGAGACGGCGACTCAGACACTACACTCCCCCTCCCTCCCTCCCTCCCTCCCTCCCTCCCTCCGTGCACTCAAAAGCATTAACCTTTCCTTCTAGTCACGTTTCTAAGCCCTTGAAAATTGTTTCCATGCCCACCCATGCCTGAACATCCCCCCGGCTTCTCAAATCTGCCTACCCGCCTAGCCTAATTGGCAGTAATTAGGGGTGTTTGTGCGGAGCGCAAGCTGAGCTTGGCTCAGACACCCCTAATTGCTGCCAGTCAGGCTGGGGCTGGAACGCATCCGAACAACCCAGGGCTTGGCTCTGCTCCAAGCTGAGCTGGGAAATGGTTTTCAGCAGAGAGCCATCCTTCTCTGCACTTGGTCATTTTAACCAATTATAGAAACTGTCTCCTGACGAGGCTAGTCGATCTCCCCCACAATGAGAGCAATAGAAAAATTCCTGCTGCTGTTCTTCTATCACTTGGGATGTGGAAAGTCTAGATTCTCTTCCTGATGTTCTTACACACAGAAAAGATAATAGCAAAATAATCAAACGGATTAACAAATGCATTCAACTTTTTATTGTTTCTGACATGAGAGTTCTATAAAATTTTCTATTTTCAAGGGCTTACAGGCAGTGATTAATTTTGGTCCAAGTAAAATACAAATATAACCATCCAACAAATACCTTAAAAATACAAATTTGGGTTTATTGGTGTGTATGTTTGCATGAGAGTTGGCAAATAGAGGATATATTTCTTGAAAGCATTTAGTTCAGCGAACAAAGGCTCTGTTTACACAAGGCATGAACATCCGTCTTGTGTGAGGTGATGTGGACAGTGCAAAACACAAGTGTAAACAGGTTTCAATGCACCATTATCTGATCTTGCACAATTACACATAGGGACATATATTTGTAGTGTAAACGCTAATGTGTCCTAATGCTAATCAGACAACATCAAATAATTGCCTACTCACCTAATATGCAATCAATGCACCAAAACAAAGGATTAAAAATTGCACATTAGACTTGTCTGATGCCAACATTCAGTAACCTTCCATTCAATTAAATACAATCACAAGTGGTAACAAGAAATGCTTTTGAGAGGAATGTAAAAACCAAGTGTAAACGGCACCTAAGCATTTATTCACATAGAAATACTTCCTAAAATAATTCCTAAAATAATTTTTTTATACAGGTTTCTTAAATGTGATGACTTGTGTTCAGGTTAAGGTTGCATGTGAATAAAGTTTGTAACACGTGATTGGTGTTGTAATGGCTAGGATAAAGTAGTATATGTTGTACTACTTTTTTTCTCATTACTTTAACATGAATGTACACGCCAAGTTGCTAATCACAAACTAGGCATTGTTGATGTAGTTGTCATGTGTGAAAGGTGAAGTGTGTAGATTTTTCGATTTTAATATACTTAGAGTAATATGGAGGGACAATATGTAAACCATTTACAGTTTGATTTCCCATTAAAAGCGCTTCTCGCAGTACTATCAAAATATTCAGTCTTTAAATATCTCGAAAGTTTGTCTGACCAGTGGCAGACAGGGATGTGTTCTGGTCTAAAAAACTGATTGAAAACATGTCTTTTTTTTCTCCATTTGGAGCCTCTCATGGAACAGAGGTGACCGGCTTCACCTTAAGTGTATTTATATATCTTAAATTAAGAAATAATTTTTTTTTATAGGATTCTGGGTTGTGGAAAATTGTTCTGTCCTGTAGAATACAGTTTTGAGTTCTGAAGTGCAAACTTCCTTGGTGGAAGTGTTAATGAACTTACTTTAGGTGTAAATGGACTGATACAGAGGTGAATCTATGTACAGTAGGTCTAGAAGGGGTACGAATGTGTAGATATCTTGCTCAGTGACCATTCCTAGAAATATAGATTGAGGAGCTGTGGAACACAAAAAACTATAATAACTGTATATATGTTCATATTTTAAGTAAATCCTTATAATGCTAATCATTTGATCACAAATGATAGTCAAGACTTTTACATTCTTATAAAGAAATATATTTTTTAAATTAAAGACAACTGTTTTCAAATTTGACAATAAGCATATTTGAATGAGTTCTGGAGAATCATGTGACACTGAAGGCGAGTGATGACTTGAAAATTCAGCTTTTCCATCATAGAAATTTTATTTTTATTTATTTATTTTATTTTATTTATTTGTTTTATTTGAGCTGCAACCATTCAGCTCAAAAGGAGAGGGCCGAAGCAACAGAGCTTATTAGCGCCCCCCCCCATAAATTAGCGCCCCCCCCCATAAATTACATAATATGTAATTTATTATGTAAATAAATTACATAATATATAAAAAAACCCCACTTCATATTATTACTGTCTTTTTTGATCAAATAAATATAGGAGAAACCTAATGACATCTATTAATAAAGGTTATGTTTTTTTTGTTAATTATTTTTTGTCTCGTGATAGGTCTTTAGACTCTTTGTTGTTGTATTCAATGTGTGAGGTATGATCAGAGTTTGCTGTTAGACTGATTTGCATCCTCTGCCCACACACAGTTCCTTCATTAATTTATATTGAGCCAAAATGTGAAATGACCAGTATAGGAGAACCATGTGTCTTTACACAAGCATCTGTAGACACATTCAGACTAAGATGCACTATTTTTTTTAAATTTATAATTGACTTGCTCCAAATAAGCATATACGAACCCACAAACACGCATATGTAGACCCAGCTGATTGCACATTTTGCTGCTAACAAATGATAAACGCCCAGTAAGCAGCTGGATGTTGCTGTCAGTGTTTTGCACCTGGGAATCACCCTGAACTAATTATATCTTAAGCGGCAGTGGAAAATGCAAATTAGAATTTTACTTACACCCCTGAAATCGGAGAGCCAATTTAATCTAATACCGCCTTTAATTTAGCACGCTAATGCAAGACCCTGGAGGATTACCCTGTGTCACTGCTCTGCTGCTCTACTCACTCTCTCTCTCTCTCTCTCTCTGCCACCAGAATGGATTAGTCTAGCAGAGTCATCTTATCTTTTCTAACATTTCCTGAGCTTGCTTTGGGTCCAGTAATGCTCCAGGTTAGTCAGACAGTTTGAGCACAGGTTTTGTGTTGGATTTTTTTTATTTTATTTTTTTTTTTTTACACATGTTGATATGCTGTATGAGGCCATAAACCAGGATCTATATTTGAAATTGATTGGTTTTATTTTATTTACAGGAATATGTCACATGCAATATCTGTTTAGGACATGAAGCGACTGATAATTTTCTGTCACCGTGAAAACATGAACACTGCTGTATAGTGTGTAATGTAAGCAAAAATTGCTGTTTTTTATGGTAATGCATGAGGAGAGATTTAGTAATACAACAGGGCTTTTTATCTTAGTGATTATTATCTTAGTACCACATCTTAAATGCTGTATAAATTATTGATTTTTTTTTGCTTGAGGAAATTAAAGATTTTGTTTTGTCTATGAATTGGACCATTTTTGGATAATTTATTCCCAAACATTTAATTAAAATCAAACATATATGTACAGTAAATGACACGCTCAAAATACAACAAACAGAAACAGACTTGAATATTAAGTGATAGTTCACCCAAAAATTGCTTTCCAATTATAATCGTTATAAACCTGAATGATTCTTTCTTCTTGAATTCTGCAGAAGTAAATAAGAATGCATTAATTTGGATTTTTTGGATGGGCATAAAATTCAGCATTAGTAACTTGCTTTTCACACATCACTCAAGCTCAATGTTCAGTGCGATTTGTGAACCGATTTAACAGGTTAACTGAAAAGAATCAGGTCGTTCAAGAATCAGACACCACTATTAAGTCGCAGAGCTTGTGGCGATTTCTTCAGTTTTAAATAACTGGGAACGAAATGTTTTTATTAAATGTGGTGAAGTAAAATAATGCATTGGAATGAACTGAAAAAAAAAAAAAAAACTCTGATTTGTACTGTCCACTACTGGGTTTCTGTTTTTATTTTCAGCAAATATTTTCCACCATTCTGTTGCTCCAAATCCCAGCTTTCTCTACAATGTGCTGCAACATTGTTGCTGAATGTATTGTTTTTGCTTGTGCTACCAATTAAGACCGAAACGTAATCAGACATGCCTGGCCTGTGCCCTTACCGTGACGCCTGCCATCTCCTTTGACCTGGCTTGATTTAACATCTCCAGTTCACTGGCGAAAGCAACTCATTATCATTGGCCGTTTCTAGGATGGGGAGGGGTGGCGGATCATTGGAGGATGGTCAGGGTGAAAGTGTAGGTGCTGGGAACGTTAATGTGTGGCACTTTAAATTTTAAACAGGTGACTGTAAATAATTGATAGCTAGCTCTGGCTGAGAAGTTAAATGGTTCCCCCATCATTGCAGTGACCTGTTTGTGAGGAAAGTCAACACATTTACATTAAGGGCATAGATAACATGCCAACATTCCATACATTTTGTAGAACATTTCAGTAACATTTACTGATTCAGTTATTGGTACACTTAAAAAAAAAAACCTAATGAAAGAATACATACTTTTTCACAAAATTGAATTTCACAAATTTGAAAAATTGTGTCACATGAGATCAAGGCTGATATATACCCTTGTGAAAAGGAAGTACACTTTAGATTAGGCTGTATACTTTAAAATTATATACTTAAATGCAAACTGAATGTTATGATTTTGAACATATTGATCGCAATTAAATGAAAATGTATATATAGTTTATAGTTTAAATTTATCTTAAATGCATTCCGTATTTAGGAATGTTAGAACTTTAGAATGTTTTTTTAACATTGAAGTAGGATGTAATGACCCGCCGTGAGTGACAGCTGCTGTCAGACTCTAAAATAGAGAGAGACTGGAGTGACGCAAGTAGCTGCCTTTGCAACAGAGCGGCCATTTGAAGTCGAGGACTTTTCTCCCTCACCTTCACTCACCTGAAGTGGATGAGGGTGAATTGTATGTAGACACAAATCCATTCGAGCCGCTGGCTCAAACTGCGGTCTTAACTCCCGCATC